CCTTGGCCTAGGAACAATTTCACATCACGGCGGACATGACCTCTATGAATCTGGCCTCAAGAGCTCTGGGTTCTCCCCATGAGCCCTACCCCTTCCTGTGGAGGATGTTGCAGTTTCCCATCGCTTTCAGGACCAGTCAAGGTGCTTCGGCTGCCACAAGTGTTGACTGCTAACCTCCCAGAGCTGAGCCTTCCCCGGAACGCGCTCTCTGTCAAAGGAAACTTCCTTGCCCAAGGCCCTGGCCCTTCCCCAGAGGTGGCTCATATTTAATAATCGCCCGGATCCTTTACCACAATCCCAGACAACTGTGAAGGGCCATCAGAGCTCTAGAACTCCCCAGGAGATCAGGTAGGCTCTGTCTTGTGAATGTTCGGCCTTTCCCTGTGCCCAGTCCTGCTCCCCTCATCCTCTGAGGAGTATTGTTCCTGAAAGTGCCCCTAAAGAACTCCCTGTGTGCGGATCTCAACTTTACAGTTAGTTTCCCAGCGAAACTGACGTATGACATTCCCATCACCCTATACTTATCGTGATTTCTGTGTTGTTGCTGTCGTCATGTGCCCTATAAGGAAAGAAAAACTTGCAAACTTTGAAGGTGTTAGAGATCCTGGCTTTGGTAGATTATGTATTAACAGTATTCATGGAGTCAGGCCCTTAGCCCAGTCCAGCCACCTTCTTACTTCTTGACCTCAAGTGAGAGATTTATCATTCCTATAGACATACTGGCTTCCTCTGGTTCAAAATAGGTAGTTGCTGGGGTGCCTGGGTGGCTGAGTCAGTTGAGCATCTGACTCTTGGTTTTGGCTTGGGTCATGATCTCGTGGTTCGTGGGTTTGAGCCCTGTATCAGGCTCTGCATTGACAGTGTGGAGCCTGCTTGGGATTCTCTCTCTTTCCCTTTCTCTCTGCTCCTCCCTCTCCCCCCCATTCTCTCTCTCTCTCTAAAAATACATAAATAAACTTTAAAAAACTATAAAAATATATAATTTCCTAGATGATGGGGTGATGGGGAAGAAGAGTGAGCAGATGGCTAAGGAATCACTAAAAGACCGTTAAGTGCTGAGAACACTTAAACCCTGTAGTAAAAGCTCTGAAATCTAGAACCCCAGAAGACCGAGACTCTACAGAGCCCATTTCCTCGGAGGTAGTTTTGAAAATACCCTTTGCTTCATTTCCTGTGGATTATGCAACCACAAAACTCCTCTGGAGACTCAGCCACACCCCAGATCTGAGCCTAAATCACTGAGTTTGACACGGATTCACAGGAATTTGGCAAGGAGCTCACCCAATTTCTCTATCAAATGGGATCCAAATGTTGCCTAGGTTGGCTGAGAGTTCAGACAGAAGAAAAGGCGCGGGCCGACCAACTGCTAAACGGTGACATTTGAAACTCAAATGAGTTTGGCTCAGCTCGAAGACAGGGAGGGAAGTTTTGAGCCATAGTGTGTGGAATAAGCCCTGGCCCAACTCAAAACAGTTTCCACTTTTTCTGGTTGTGGTTTCAGATCCGCGTCTGACCCCACCGGTGTACCCAGGTCACCGTGCTCGTTCCACACGCCAAGGCCAGTTCCAGGGAGCTTGGGGCTCCTGTGGGGTCCACTTAGGGAAGCAGGCTCTCGTCACCTGCTTTAATTCCCTCTGGACCAGAGCAAGCCCTGACAAAGAGTGGAGAGAGGACCAGGGGAATCCCTGGTTCAGCTTCTGTGAAGCGTCCCACAAGCTCTGTGTGTTGCTGCCCTGAGTTCTTTCTCTTTCTGGGTCCTCAGAACGTGCTGGCCTCCTGCTTCCTGCAATAGCATCAACGGCCAGCACCGGTTTGGATAAAGTTGCGAGTTAGAGAAAGTTCGATTTTGCTGCTCACATCAGACTTTCTATCACAAATTCTCCTTAAATCCTTCTTTTCCTTACTCTCTCCCCCCCCTACCCCACCCAAATCCTCCACCAGTATCTCCACTGTCTTCAGGCCTCAGTTACGGATGCTCCAGAATCCCCCATTGCCCCAGGATCCAACCAGTGAGCTAGTTTGTCCCAAGCAGTGTCACGAGCTCTGGGCCTTTCTGCCTCCCCTCTCACTTATGTGTCTCGTCCTGATCCCTGTCCCCACCCCTCCCTGTCCCACCACCATTAAGATACCTCTTTCCTAGATCCTGTCTCCTAAGGCCCTAGCTGCTTAGACGAACCAACTGGCTATAAAACATATATTTATGGGAAAACCCACTAAAACTGTGTCAACGTATGCTTGAGCCACGACTTGGGCATCCACATGCCAACTAACCTCAGGGAAGACAATTAGACTCTTTGGGCCTCAGTTTCTTTACCTCTGAAATAGAGATTCGAAATACTTATTTTTTTAAGTCTATTTATTAATTTTGAGAGAGAGAAAGGGAGAGCACAAGCAGGGCAGGGCCAGAGAGAGAGAGAATCTCTGTGCCCCAAGATTAGAAATATTTAATTCACAGGGTCTCAGATTAAAGTTAACTTCCATCAAAAAAAAAAATCTCTTGGGGGACCTGGGTGGCTTAGTCGGGTAGGCATCCAACTCTTGATTTGGGCTCAGGTCATGATCCCAGGGTCTTGGGATCAAGCCCCAAGTTGGGCTCTGTACTGAGTGTGGAATCTTGTTGGGATTCTGTCTCTTTCTCTCTCTCTCCCTCTGCCTCTCTCCCCATCTCACACTCTATTCTCTCTCTCTCAAAAAAAAAAAAAAAAAAAAAAAAAAAAAAAAA